GGTAACAGCATGCAGAGTGAGCGCAGAGCTCCGACACAGGAGGAAGGAGAGAAAAAAAAAAAGCTGCGACCACGGCTCTGCCTCTAGGTCTCATATATACGGTTGTACAACGAAGCTTCTGCTATTTCTAGCCATGCTGACGTAAACGCTGGCTCTGGAGAACGGAGTTTGGAGGGCGTTACCAACAGAGCTCATTAACATAAACAGCTTGTTCTGAACGGAAGTCAGAGCAGGCAGAACTAGAAAATGGGAAATTTTATTATCTGAGAATTATTTTGTGCATTAAGTTGAATGAACATGGTCTGGATGGCCCACAGACATACCATAAAAAATTTCTAGGACCCATAATTGGTCTCCTTTAATAAAAATATAATGCATCAGTGTGCAAATCTTATGAACTTGTGTTTTATTCACAAATGAAAATAGTTTCAATTATTGTGAATTTTTAGGAAAAAATAAAAGTAATATTGAATTTGTTGCAGGTACACATCTCAGAATGTCAGGCAACAAAAGACTGTAAATATGAGGTTTAAGTGCAGAATGACCCAGGGCACAGGCAAAATCCAAAGTTAAAAAAGGGTATTTTAATAAAACAAAAGTAGGGCTGATGTGTCAGCAAAAACGTACAGAGRCTCTTATGAGAAAGGCACCAGGAACATGAACACTAGCAGACACCTCACTGGCTGAGGGAAGCAGCACAATGATCGGACAAACACTGAAGACAGGACACAGAATATAAAGGCAAACTAATTAGGGCAACAAGACACACCTGGAGCAGACACAGGTGAGAGGGCAGGGCTGCAGGGCAGAGAAACACGGGAAAACTGAAAACACTAGAAAACTAAGGAAAATAAACACAGACCATGACAGTAAATTGAACAAACAGCTGGAAGAACATTTTGCACCTGCAGTCAGACCCGYCGGTTCGATCTCTTGTTCCAGCCGTCTCAGTCATTCTGTCCTTGGGCAAGACACTTCAAGTGCCTTGCCTACTAATGGTGGTCAGAGGGTCTGGTGGTGCCRGTGTATGGCAGCTCCGCCTCTGTCCATTTGCCCCAGGGCAGGTGTGGATAGCTTACCATCATCAGTGTGTGAACATGAGTGTGAATAAGTGAATGTCTGTAAGTGTAAAGCGCTTTGGGGTCCGAGGGACTTGATAAAGCACTGTATAAGTCCAGTCCATTTACCATTTACAATGAAAATGTGGAATACAGTTAAACAAATGGAAAAGGTGGAATTTAGAAAAATAAAAATAGAAATAATGGAATTTGGGGAAAAAAATAAATGGATTTAGAGGGCCCTTGGTAAGGAAGACACTATTATTTAAGCCAAAATAAACATTAGAACTTGACCGAAGAAAAACAAGAGCAAAGCTAGCACAAGCAGAGACGATGTTACCACGCCACCAGTCAAGCAAGGCAAGTGCAACCAGGCGCTGTAATCTGCCTACAATAATTAAGTTCATTAGCAAAAGGTTAGTAACTGGGTGTAAAAAATGTTTTAGAGAAGATGAATCTCACAGAAGTAAAGATGGGCAGAGGTCATTAAATTGGAGAAAGCTGCTTCTGGAAATAGAGTTCAAAATCATTCATAAATGGAAGATTGTAAAAATGTCTTAGTTTGAACATTTTATATGCTTATTGTATTCCATTATGAATGACATTTGGGTTTTTGAAATTTGTACTGCAATAATTTTTATCACAATATCCCATTTTTAAGTGTTTTAAGATGTGCTTCTATTGGTTAGTTTTTGTGTTTTGTTTAACTCTGTTGGGCAGTTTATGAGATGTTTTGCTAAAAGACAAAAAACAAAACCAAGTAATTACATGTTTGCTTGCATTTTGTAGTGGTGGGTAGTGATTATCAACTGGTTATTTAAAGTGAGCCAATTTTGTAGTGCTCGAAAACTTTCAGTGATCGCACCTCTATTTAAATCTGATTAACACCAATGATTAGTAATTACAAACCCATAAGTATTCCTGCCTGTGATAGCTAGAGTTTTAGTAAAATTGATCCATGAACAGATAGTTTTACACCTGCATACCTCTTTTTTWAATACAATCTAATCAATTTCAGATTTAAAAACATAATTTCACTGAAACCACACTTTGTTTTTTTATATAAAATATGGATAACAGTGTTGTGGAAGGRGCCATTTTTTAATCTGGAAAAAAACTATTGATAGTCAACTATGAGGCTCTCATTACAAAATGTTTTTTTTTTCAGCAAATGTAATTAGGTTAGTRAAATTATAGAAATTTAGAGATTAGAAAACATGTTTTTATCACTAATAATGTTTCTGATATGGTTCATATTAATGCTGGTGTACCTCAAGGTTTTATTTTGGGACCTTTGTGTTTCAGTTTGTACACTAATGACTTTCCTAAAGTCTGTGCAGAAAATGCAACTTGTTGTTTATCTGCATATATAAAGGCTACAGTAGAACTAAAAGTCAGTTATGATCAAGATCTCTAACTGGTTGTGTAACTCATGTTTGCATATAGGTCTGCAATAGTGAATCGATAAAAATTGATAAAAAATTGATTAATAAAAGTATTGGCAACAAATTTCTTTATCRTTTTATTGTGTCAGGTGATTTGTGTGTCACTTGCCATGCCATAGAGCTATTTACTTGACCCACAGTGTGTTTCCAATAAAACTGTAAAACAAAACTGTAACGTCTGCAGTGCGGAGCATGTTAAACAGAGCGAGGCGGAGGCAGTATTTTCAAAGGAAATTAAGTAAATTCTACAAATGACAGATGCAGAGAAAATGGTTTGTCTGAAGTCTTCAAAAGTGTGAGAGCTCTTCGTGCTTCACAAAACTTGCAAATATGTAACAAGCTTTGCAAAAGTAATTTGGCGAGACACGGGAGCAACATGGGAAAGATACAGCACCTGAAACAAAGACATGTTTAAGAATGAAGGGAGCTCCACAGCAGAGTAAGTCGCTACGTTTATTCCATTTCAAAGTGAGGAAACGTAACATTAATCTCTCCGGTTGCTGGTCTGATGCTGGCGTTAGCATGTTAGCTGGTTAATGTGTTACTTTTTTTTTTCAGGATGAGAAGCTTAAGCTATTTGAAGATAATGTTTAAATGTGCTTTATAAATAAATCTAACTTGCGCACACTGATGGTAATAATTTCATGATTAAATTTTAAGTTTTAATTTGCTGACAAAGTGACACTGCAAAGGGCAAATAAACACACACACACACACACACACACACCATATTTGTGTGTGTTTCAATGCTCTTTGGACCACTTACTTGCCTTAACTTAATACTGCAAATGAGACAAGACATTTATTAAATTATTGTAAATTATGCTATTATACATACTCATACTTTACTGTCGCTCTCCTTCCAGAAAAAAAAAAACTCAAACAATGACAGGCTTCATGATGGGAAATACATCATGGACACCACAGCAAGCGGCTG